TCGTTGAAAAGTTTGGAAAAAGTCTTCTCGGACGCCGATTTCTGCGAAACCGCGGATTTGAGGTTTCCGGAAAATTACGATTGAACGCGGACAGTTTTAACCGAAGTTACCTTCCTACGGGACTTACAGACGTACACGACAGAGCCAAGCATTGCGAGCCAATATTCGAAAGGCGCTTTGAAACATAGCATAGTATGTCGACTCTTATAATCTCGGGGTGGTTCGAAGAACTCGGCCAACAAAGCCGGCCGTTCAACTTTACACCTATATAGATATATACACATATCCATTCGAGTCCTCTTCGACGGCGCGCAATGTCGTACGACGACGGCGTCTCTCTTTCTCTCTCTCTCTCTCTCTCTCTCTCTCTCTCTCTCTCTCTCTCTCTCTCTCTCTCCGCGCGCCGTGCCTAACCTTCTCCCGCCCGTAGAGCCCACCGCGCGCGTCTCTCCAACGCGTCCCCCTCTCGCGCCCTCTCGTCGCTCCTCGCCCTCCCCCTCCGTCCCCCGCGCAACTCTGTTCTCTCATGGCGCGCCACGATTCGTAGCAAAGTTTTAACATCGCCTCATTTCTTCTCTATGTCCCTCTATTTTTATCCGTCACTCTCCACGCTTTTTCGAACGTGCATACAATTTTTAAGCCGGGTCCATCGCGCCGTACACGTTTTCACGGTCGCGCGTCAGTTCGGGAGTTTCTCTCTCTCTCTCTCTCTCTCGTTTAACCGGCGTTATTCGGAGAATTCCTCCCCTCCCCTTCGTTTTTTCTCGCTCTTTCGCCGAGGCAAACGCGTTTCGTCTTTGTTGTCGCCCGTGGCCTCTTTGTTTTCCTCCGTCCGTCTCGCTTCCTCATCGTTATTGTTTATCCCTGCCTCTCTCTCTCTCTCTCTCTCTCGCTCTGTCTATCGTTTACTTCGGTGTTTACCCCCGGCAAAACGGACGATCGGTTTAGTTGCATGAACGGCGTACAACGTGACGGCGGGATCCGTACAGTCGTTCCTCGGCGGAGAGAGAGACCCTCGTGTGGGAGAGTGCCAGAGCGAGAGGGGCAGACGGGATAGAGTGAGACGGCGGCGGCACGTAGCTTGTAGGGAAAGGCGGAGAGAGGAAGGAGAGCAGTAGCTAGCCGGTGGTGCGTCGTCGTTGTGCGCTTCCTAACCTCCAAAACGGGCTCCTCGCCTCGCCGACAGCCGACGCGTAAACGTACGTAACGAACGAACGAACGAGCGAGCGAGCGACGCCGCTACCTCGACGCGCGCGCGTGTGTATATATATATGTATATATATTATATACGTATATATATGTGTATATGTGCCCGTCCTTCTCCCCGTGACGTTGCCACCGATTCATAACGAACGTGATCCGGCAGTCGTCGTCGTCGTCGTCGTCGTCACCGCTGCCTTGGTCGTCATCGCCGTGACTCTACGACAGTGTGTTTCTCGCGTGTGTGTCATCGGGTATCCGCGGCGTGACAAAAGAGCCGTGAGACTGCGCGGTGGAGGAAAAAAAAAATATCCGCGCGAGAGAGAGAGGGAGGAGATTAGTCCGAAAAGGGAGTTTTTCGTTTTTGGAATTCACCTCGCCGTCTTGTGCCGCGCTTGCATTTTGAGTGAGTGAGACGAAACGCGACGAGGGGGAAATTAGCCACGTCGCCGAACCACCAGGTGCACGGGATATTCGACTCCGGAATTCGGCCTGGAACATTCCTTCCATCGTTGCCGCCAACCGCTAGCCGCCCGCCGACGCCGCCGTCTGGGAGCCCTACCGTGGACACGGTTAGTACATCTGGCCAATAGCGCGACCGGGATTCGGCGTGCCGACGCGACGTTATTATTGCGACACACGACGCCCCGCGGCGACGACGGAGGGTCGCCGCACGGCGTGGCACGACGATCGGATTTTCGGAGCCGGCGGTAGCACCACGTTGAGCCGAGCGTTTCCGGCGCGGAGCCACCGCGTGCGACCGCGCGCGCGCGCGCGCTCCGAAATCCGCGCGGATTCTCCTTTCCCGCCTCCTCCCCCTGTCGTAAACGCGCGCTCGCGCGGAGTCGCGGAGGGCGCATGTCCGCGGCATTGAAACCGGCTGCCGCGGCTCCGAATCGTCCTCCCCCCCGCCGCCGCCGCACGTTCTCGCACGTGGTCGAGGAGAGAGAATTTTCACCGGCGCGGGCGACGCGAAATCCCCGAGCCGGAGTCTCCGTTGCCGGTAGGGATTGCCTGCCTGGAACGAATGCCCCATTGTTCGTCACGGTCCCTCGGCCTTGATCCTTCCCAGGAGCACACGCCGCCGGAAATCTTGATTTCGCGCCGGTTTTGGGGAGCGCACAGTCCCGGCTTGCCGGGCTTGCGCAGCCGGCGGAAGCATGCTTCTCTAAACTGGAGGCCCATTTTCATAATGTATGGTTTACCCTCTAAAGGTTAAAAATTACCAAGAAGTTTGTTGTTTAATAACGTTTGCTTAGGACTCAACCGTTATCGAGTTAACTTGATGTCAACTGGTACACCTGGTGATAACCTTCAGTTTATTCGAGTATAAGCTTATGAAAGTGTGTTTTAGTAAATTCTCAAGTTTTCAGTTAACCTAACTTTTTTTTTTTTCGTTTTGACCATGTATTATGAAACTGGGCCTGAGAAGAAACAGGTGCTGCCGACTAGGTACACGTGACGGCTTTCTTTCTTTTAAGATATTGTACGTTTTATGGGTTTAAGGATGACGAAGGATCTCGGGTATCTAATAATGCCAGTAAGAAATGTAATACTCTGAAGAGAAGTTATGCATTGTATATATGTGTAGTGCATTGCTGCGCTAATACAAAAGTGATGCGTGTGTAAAAAAAAATGAGCACTTTTAAACATGTGTCATTTTCCTGTGTTTAAAGCGACGATATATATATATGTATATATACAGCGCGCAAGTTTTTTGTCAAAGAGTATATATAACAACGTTATAATAATGGAAATACCTGAAAAAAGATGGTAACGTCGATTTAACTCGGTAATTTAATAAAATTGAAAATTTTAATAAAAATCAAAATTTTATTTATAATAAAATAAGCGTCGACGATGGAATCGGTGTACCTCACACACGTAAATGTTTTATTCGTCCTCAATGCGAAGAGTGACGTGACAGTACAAATATAGCTCGATATCCTTAAGCGGTGGTTTTATTAACATTCATTAATCTTCACTTTTAGCGGAAAGGCGTCTATAAATTACGCTCCCGTGCATGCGTCTTTCCTCACCTATTTGTCTAGGTACCTTTTTGTGTCAAATGTCGTTGAATATTTATGTCGCGTCTCCCGGTAAATAATTTTCCGCCGTCTCGCGGGGGCCTCGAGGTGTGTAGAACTGCGGTAGACTGACTGGTCCGTACACCACGGACAGGAGCCCCGGCTTGTACAAACGTATCTCGCGGAACAATCATTTAAGTACCGCTGGGAAAACTCGTCGCTGTCGCCGGGCGGCGAGGAGAGAGAAACGGCGATGGGCGCGATTACGCGACGTCGAGGCGCGCGCGTTAGCCGGTATCAATGAGTCGTCCGACAACGTCAAGACGACCGACGGAAAGATGTGAAGGGGCCGCGGAGGGGGGGGGGAGAGACCGCGAGAGCATGCGTTTTTTGTGAGGCGGTGGGTGTAAAAATCACTGCAAGTAAACAGAGTCCCAAGCTCGGCTTGCGGCGGCGCATAGAGTTACACGCGGCTTATCGCGTCGCGCCGCATTGCCCGCGCGTTCCTCGAACCCACCGGCCGGCCTATACGGTATACGCGCGCGCCCGCATGCATGTGTGTATGCACCTGATGGCCTATACCGGTACCCCGCGGCCGTGGTACGCCAGTCGGATCGGTATATACGGCCCTAGGTTCTTCAGGATCGTGAGAATCGTTGTTGTGCGCGTCTCCCGCCCCCCTCTTCCGCGCGCCCAGCTCCTCGCGAAGCTCCTTTTGCACGCGACTTGGGAGCCGTCCCGTTGCAGCGCGGCGCAGTCTTCTGCGCTTGTCCTCGGCGCTTCCCAATCTTCTCTATAACGACCAAACCGCGGTCGTTCTGCAGGAGCAATCGTCCGGTCTTCTTCCTTTCAGAAACGAGAAACGTTTTTAGACTCATTTTCTACCAATGTTGATTGACTTTAATCTTAGTTAAATTTGTTCTTTATATCTTCTTCTAATTCTTATAATCAGAAGTAAACCGAGAATAAAATTACTCTATGGACATTAGGAACAGTAGTTTAAATGAGCTCTTATGTACCAGCCTGCGCCAGGTGCACTAGGTAGTTTCAAGATTTCTGATTCACTTTGAAAACGTCAACTTGCTTGAAAATTCTTTTTGCAAAATATTCCGCTACGGAATATATATGTATGTACAGGGTGTCCCGAAATTCGCGAATCAAAATATCATAGCAGGAAAGTCTTCGAAAAATTAAGTAAAAAAGTTATTTGTACATTTTTAATTTAAGCAATAGTTTTTGCAAGAGATATAAGGATTTAAATTTAATCAGTTATAGATTAGTACTCGCGTGAAATGCCACTAACACTATCAACGCGTTCACGGACATATTTCCGTTTAATCTATAATTTGGACATTATAAATAAATTTAAACCCTTACATCTCAAAAACTGCTTAAATTAAAAATTTACAAATAACTTTTTTACTTAATTTTTGGAAGACTTTCCTGCTATGATATTTTGATTTGCGAATTTCGGGACACCCTGTATATATATATATGCAATCTGTCCTAAAGCGCAGCACTATTTTTCGCTTAGCTCGCTTCAAAATTCCGGGCGCTTTTGCATTCGTGACACGAGGCTGAAATTTGTATCTCTTAGGCCCTCGCGCGCTTCATTGAGCAAGATTTGTCGCCGTCGTCAACGACGCCATTGTCAATAGAAACTAGGCTGCAAACCGGCAATCAGAGCGGGGGTACCTCCTTGCTAAGCGCGAGCCTCACGTATACGTACGAGTGAAGCAACTTTACGGCGCGTAATTGCTTCCTCGGGAATTAGAAACCACACCTTTTGCGTTCGTATAACCGCGAGTGTCGCCGGTCGACGTAAAAGGAAATCCACTGTAATCGCGATTAGGTGTAGTTTCTCGACGGACAAAAATGGCTTGCCCGTCGGGCGCTCAATCGCAGTTTCACTAATCACCCCCGGGGTGTATCGTTACGTATGTTTACAATTAATTTTTGCGATTATGAAATTTTCAATCCAGCGGATCTGGCGTATTTTTATTAATGTAACGTCGGTAGAGATTGGAAAAACATTCTCTCTCTCTCTCTCTCCCCCCCCCCCTTTTCGAGTTAATTTTTTTACGAAGTGTATTGAAAGGGTTCACGGACTACTTCGCAATTCACGCCGTATCTCGGCCTGAAATTCCACGGTCGGTGATATCGGCCGTAATTGTGGCCGTGATCCGAATATCGATGACTAAGTCTGTGTCTTGGGCATATTTTTGCGCCGCGAATGGTAATCGCGCGCGCGGACCGTTCGCGAAATGTTCGTTTGAGAGAGCTATTTTCTTCGATGATGCACCCGCCGCCAGGAGTACACCTGCGCTCCCCCCCTTCCTTGGCTGTGTCGCGACATTGCATTCGGATTACGATTGAGCCACGATCACCTTGCCGTCCGAAATCGTGAGAAACCGGTTCCGCGCTATCATCGGGAGACCCTCTTCCTTTTTTTTTCTGTACCGGCGACGCGACGCACGGTGGGCTCTCGTCGCACCGTCGCGCAACCGAAACCGAAATCGTCGCGGTTCATCATTATGCGAGACGCGTTTCGCAATTCGGAAGAGAGAACTCGAGCTCCTCCGTTTAGCCTCGAACGAATGCTTTTTCGACGAGCCGACGCGCGTTAGGCGCGCGCTCAGACCTCCCTATTGCCGTTTTCGCGAGAGTATTTGCATAACGAGAAAATCTCTTCGTCGGAAGAGAGTCTGCGTGACCAGCACGAAACGCGACAATTTGATTCGCTTAAAATTTGTTATTAAACTTTTATTGTCAATTTGCTACAATTTGATATCGTTCCGTTATTTTTATTTTTAAGGTTGACAATCTCTAACGCTATTTTTTTTTTTTTTTTTTAATAATATTCCGCTCTGCAACCACGGCGAATTAATGGTAACGATATTTAATAGAAGTATTAATAGCGGGGAATACAGTTTTATGGCTATTGGATAACCGACGATGAATTTTATCGGTTAGTTATAGAATTATTATTGAGTTTCAAAGAAGAGCGCTGACAGGTTGCGAAAACTCGTTCACTGATATTTTATAGCTGCACCAACCCGGAGCAGCGCTGTGTATGTGTGTGTGTGTGTATGCGCGCAGCACGTTAGGTGTCTCATTTTACCTTGATATCGATCCGACGTGTCATCCGTTTAATCTTTTCTTTCTTTTTGTTCTTCCTCTCGTCGTTTAGTGTTAAAGCACTCCCGCGGCCCGACGTTTTCAGGACGTATCATACTCGCAATTTATGGGAACCCTATGCCGGGAATGTTGAGCATGCGCCGGAACGGTCTCTTAGGGACCTTACGAGACGACTAAATGCCTCCCATAACCGAGATATTAAAGGATTTATTAAGCGCGGAAGGTCAATTTGGCCTCCTCCACTTTTTTCCTTTTTATAACAAGTTAATATAACCTTTCCCTATATGCGAGAGACGTTTTCCGCGCGGGGCTTAAAACGCGGTACTTACTGTTATCTCAATTAGGACTGTAACCATCGATTTCGCGATAATTAGATTGTAATGTAAACTCAGCCACGCTTTATCTTG